TTAATTATTACATAACTCAGTGCTTGATAACCGCTAGTTATTGCGACTGATATTTTGGTTATTAGCACTAGTTATTTGAATGGGTTTGTTAACAATCCCATAGAGAGTTGAAATGACATAATTGAATTCAATTTTTGCGTTAAATCAACAAAGTCAACAAATCTTATCAATGAAGAAGAGATAAAATTTTTTAGCCATAAATTGACCAATTGTGTCTTCAGCTTTTACTTTCATTATGTAAGCTTTTCAAACAACTCATATGAAAAACAAATCTAGATAACATAATTCTAACTCTTATTCATGAATCTTTTACGTGCCTCTATCCTTAAATTCCTTTGTTTTTTTCGTGAATATCTCTCGAACGGTAACTCTGACCAAAAAATAATTTATATTATTGATGTCAGCATAAAAAAATACATAAGAAAAATTAGTTTGAAAGTGTTCTGAGTTTGGGCACTTTTCCCTATTCATTTTGACATCCTCCTTATAAATGAAATTATTTTACTCAATTTAATTGTTCTGGACTTACAATTAATGTTTTTTACTATTATTCTTAAAACTAAATCAATATTAAAGTATTTTGTCCAGCTAAACAGCACGAACTTAGCAATATAGATAACTGTAGTTGTACGTTGTATTATTTAAGGCAAATATTATTTTAATTGAAAAAGTTAAATTGTTCACTGATAGTTGAAATTAAAAGAGGATTAGTTGATATTTATTTCGAGTATTAACATGTAAAATTTAACTATTATTCACTAATTTTCTGAAAAAAGCTGCATAAAGGAATTAAAAATTTGGTTTAAGCAAACAAACAGTTAACATTTAATTACATTAATCTTATAATTAAATTGGCTTAAAATTTCTCGATTTCTTCGTAAATGATTTAGGAAATGTTGAAATTCGCAAGTTGAAAGGTTAGTCAAACTCTAATCACCCATCAAAAGATTAATCAATCAATTTCATTTGATTTAATCCTTTCTTGTTAATACATGCAATAACAGTTCAACTCATTCTTTACTGATTTATCACTAAGCCTTTGTCGTACAAATAATCTCTCAGTTTGTGCTAAAAAATTGATTTCTTGTAAGCAAATTGTTGTCAACCTAACCTACTAAACTAATTTGAATTGATGTCTGATTGTTTTAAATTGTTAACAAAATTAAGCAGCTTTAGGATATAAAAATTATGAAATTGAATAGTAATTCTTTATGATGTTTGACAGCAGATTGTTAATGCTGTTGCAAAAAATAAATCAAGCTTAACAGTAAAATGTTACTCCTTGAACCATGCAAAAAGGCAATGATTAAGCTGCTTTCAATAATGATTCAGATCACCATAGGTTGAGTGTGGCCTGATTGTAGCAATATAAGGTCAATCTAACAACATTTTTGACAACAGAGTACATGGCAATGCATTAAAGGTAAAAAAGGTTGCACATGAAGTAACCTTGATAATGATGGATATAATGACCTAACATCAAATGGTTATTGTATCTGTAGAAGCTGCAAGAGTCGAGTAAAATTCTTGTTCACAATTTAATGCTTTCATGAACCAGAAGCAGCTAAAACATCCAATGGTTGTCATGTTGATACAACTAGGAGTCAATCTAATGTTAATGGTTCAGGTCATAGGGCGAAGCTGGAAAAGTTGAAAGGTAAAATACAATTTGTTGTTAACATCTTTCTCTGTGGGTCAATAGCCTGTTAACTATTACCGGCAACGAGGTCAAAGAAGGTCAGGACAGCTCATCAATTTATTTCCTGGTGACGTCGTCTCTATGTAATGGCCATCAACTGTTTGGGGTTAACCTATTTACCAAAAATATTGACCCAAATATCCTCCACAGCTTTGTGTACCAAAAAATCCACAGAAGCTTAATTAACTTCCAACAAGTTTATAGCTTTGCATACCTAAGTACGAGTTTTTATATTACACACGTAATTAATTTACCCATAAAAGGTCAACCAAAATGACGGGTAAAGGAAAAATATTGTAGCATTGAAACAAAGAGCTATTGTCCAGTTAACCAAATAAAAAATTGTGTACAATAATGTTGAGGCCTTGACGTTGTGTCCGGAATTATGGATCAGCGATTACATGATTCACAATGACAGTTAATTTGTTTATTTTGTGGCAAATTTAGGTAAACAACAATGAAAGTTAATAATCACAATAATAGAAGGCAGAATAAAAGAAAGACAAAAAGCGCCAAACAAAAATTGGGTGTTAAACGTGGTTTACCGTATAAACAGTTGAATGTAAGGGAAATAAACATGGCGCCTCTTTTAATTTGATCCTTTTTTTAATATCATCTTTATTGTAAAATATATTTGTGAATTTGGTATCTGATTGAATCGTCAGATTTAGAAGTGATTAAGATTAATCATTTGTTGTTTGTTTATCCCCTTTCAGTCCGATGAGAGATTCTCAAGGTATTATTTGTTTATAAAGCCTCATCTTGGATACTTTATAATAAAAAAGAAGCTTAACATTACATTAAACTTTCCTTTCATTACATTTATATCATCATCATCATCATCATCATCAGGTTATCGTTTACAAAGGAAAACCGTGACTCTGCATGTGATAGTGAACCTGACTATCACAACAATTACAGTCCAACAATCAGCTAATCATAAGCACCCATCAACCAACATCGGCCATTGCCACCTAAACATCATTACATGTAAAAGATACATCAACAAAGGAACAACTTTCACTCTGAAAGTTAAAACGCTTTCTACTATTATTTTAATTATGCTGATCATCATTATCAAAAGCTGAAGATGAAGATGATGATGATAGGCATATGACCTTGTCATTTGAGGTTCAAAAATTCTGGTTGATTGGCTGATTTTACATGTCTAACAGGTAAACAATTGTGGCTTATTCACTTTCATCTTCACAAAATTGCCTTTTTTTTAATATCCATACACTTTTAACAAACATCACTATTAACTGGCCAACTCAATTAAGTACACAATAAAGAATGAATCAGTTGAGTTATAAAAGAGGTAAAACCTTGAATTTGATTATCATTATTCACTATTATGATTAAAAGACAACCAGCAATGAATGGTCTATAAAAATGGGTAAACAACAAAACCCAAGCCATTGAAACTTCAAGCCAACATTTGAGTTTTGAAAAAACACTCTTGATAGTTTTGAAATATCAAGATAATTTAAATAAAACTAAAAATGTTAACCTTACTCATTGACATTGTAAGCTAATGAATTGAAAATTATATTAAATGTTTAATGCAAATCAAGCTCGCACAAACATAATTTTCATTTCATTAAAATCATTTACCTTTCATCAAACCTCATCTAAACTGTCAACAGTAACATGTTACAATCAAATTGTAACCTTTTAATTCTGAGAGCTCATGATCATCAACTAACTAATCATAATAGTGCATTAACAACCCAACATTGATAAACTCAAATTTTCCCTTTAAAAATCGTATCTAAAATCTTTAGGGCCATAACCTGCAACGTAATTGAAAAAAAAAAGTCTTTTTTATCTCATACTTTTTCAATAGAGCAAAAAAGTGTATATTAAAAAAAGAGATAAAAAACCAGAATTTAATGATTATCTTGATATTTATTTGTTGTTATTAAAGTGAAAGTCATTATTTTGAATGAAACCATCATGATGAAAGGGATACATTAAGGTGAAATGTATTAATCAAATGAAAAATTGTTGAAATGTTGTTCAACTATTAGACCATTAAACTTGCTGGTTAAATTATGGTTGTCAGTCCTTCAAATTGTTAACCCTGGCAACTGAGATGTTTAATCATTAGTTTACAGTTGAATTAGACTACAATCGTTGATTGTCCAGTAAATTATTGAATCAAGAAAATTTGATCAACAATTTAATAGCAAAAAATGAGGTAAAACAAAATGAAAACACAATACAATTTGTAAAAGCTGACAAGTTTACCCACTTTATAAATGACAACAAAAGTCTATCTTTAAGCCTGAATCTCACGGATAATTTTGTCAATGGCAATTTACATTGAAAGTTAATACAGTTTAAATAATTAAGAAACGTTAATTGTTACCATTATATTGTTGGATGAATGGTTAAAAAAAGCTCAACAAAAAGATAGACTGGAAATGGTGAAAAGCATCTTCACAACTATCTTTAGCCTTGTTAACTATCAACCCAATTGTTCTCACCAAAATGTTAAACTAATTATCAATTTAGTTAACTTAAACAAGTAGCTGCCAGGTAAGCGTACAGATGAACATGAAGAGAGGAAGATAAATAAAGACAAATAAAAGCTGAAAAGTAAATAAAGCGGCAAATTTGACCTGAAGCAGTTTACAGACCAAATTCAGATTCAATCAACAACTTACGGTGTTTTTAACTGCAAAGGAAACAAGCACACACGATCATCATCTTCATCTTGTACCATCAAACATTAACAATTTACTTTGTTATCCATTTCAATTTCAAAGCTAATTCAGTTAATCTGTATTTGATCAATCATCAATCTTGGCGAATTGATTGTGTCTTAAAAGTCTACTAACATGTGATTGGTGGTAATCAATGGTTTAAAACTTACATGCAGAGAAATGCTTATTGATTCCTGAAACAACTGAATTCATTTATCTTTTCAATGTTTCATTTTTGGCTAATGGATTAGTTAATCATATTGAGTTAACATGTAATTAATTATGTTCATCTTTCAGTTGATCATCAACAATCAATTAACTCAACTAATTTTCATCTTCCATTTTTACCCTTCATTTTTTACCTCATTTACTTGTTTGAATATAATTATTTTGCATCTTGTCTGCTCATTTGTTTTGTGTAAGAAAACAGGCAATTTAATTGCTTCGATTCGGGATTGATTTTGTGTTAATAATCAAGTTACAGCTCAGTTGATTGCTGCTTTGATTGTTGTTATCAAAATGAGAAGATGAATCGTGTTCAATGTTTAGCTTTGTGTTGGCCATGTATTAAAATAAATGTAGCAAAAAATGATCCCAAAAAGCGTAATATTGAGAAAAGATTGTTGATTGATTTGATTTGCTTCCATATTTGAGTTGTTGATATTTTATCAAATTAGCAAGAATCTTGAATGTTGTTGAGTTTAGCTGAGTAAATCTTGTTGTATTGATAGTTTAGCTTTTAATCAGCTTCTGTGGATCCTGATTAAATATGGGTTTGGTCCAATATGTAGTTTATATATTTTTCATACCAATGTATAGGAATAATTTGGGTTTGACTGATTGATTGGTTTTAATAATACCAAAATATTAAATTACGTGAGTTAAATCAAATGTAAATTGCCTCGGGACTTTAATCAACTTTCCATTTTACTTTTAGTGTGTTGGTTGTGAGTATTATTTTGATCGTACGTTTGGATCAATGAAACTATTATTATTGATATTATCATTATAGTTTTATGTTGTAACCAGCAACATTTGATTGTCCATACAATTCAATCACGGAATTAGCAATTTTAATCCGGTTAACAGTCAACATCCAATGAGTGGTTGAAAAACTGGACAACAAAAGAGACTGAAAGAAAAGACAGAAAATTAGTTCATGGTTAACTCGATTATTGTGATTAATTGGTTGATACATATCTTGGTAAATTGCCTTTTATCATGTAAATAAGTGCTAAATCATCGACAAGAGTCATGATTAGCAGCTAATCAGGAATGTTCGATATCTCAAGAGTCTCTCAGTTGATCCAAGCGAAATGAGTTGACCATTAATTTTGTCCCAATTGATTCAAATCCAATGATTGTATCCAATATGATTAAATTGTCACTTCCATGGATCATCAATGAAGTTGGATGCTCTGAAAGGAGAGAGAGAAAAAAATGCTTGATTAATTTCAATTAATTGCTAAACAGGTTAAGTGTTTAATAAGTTGACCTAATGATCGTTTCATTATTTAACTGCCAAATCAGGCAGGAAAAATGGATCGTAAATTTCAATGATTAACTAATGACAACCAGGAAAATGAGTAAATTGATTAGTTAACATACGCTGTTATTTTCATCTTTCATCTTGTATCACTGATTACTATGCCATTATTTATACTTAAATATCATGAGATTCAATGACATTAAAACATGATCTATTGACAAGATACTGACTATCGAATGGAATAAAGTTTGTCACAATAATTTACTGTAAACTAAATGATTAAGTTAACAATCAATGATTAATTTAGTTTTTCCATTTTCCTGGTCTTTCCACTCTTCATCCCAAGTCATCACAGTACAGTAAAATGAAAGTGTGAAGGAAGCTAACCTTATGAATAATTTTCTTGATTAAAAGATTATTAGTGAGATAGTTAAGTTATTTATCAGAATTTTACTTTTTTTCGCATTCAACGAAAATCAATTGATTAATTTGAAATGAATTTGAGTAATTTGATAACATTAATGAACCCAGAGCTCAATTTTATCCTGTCAATTGTGCCTTAGGCTTTGGGTCATTATATTTATAACGGCAAACAAGTATATCTTGTATCTTCTTATCATCATCATCTTACCTAACATTTTATTTAAAGAAACGTCGATTCAACAAAATGGTCAACATTTTTGATCGACTGATCAGTTAAATTACACTTAAACACTTAGTTAACCGTCCAATTGATCGGGTTTGCTGTTTATTTTTAAGTGTATTTTGTTTTCATTTTCAAATTAATATCACATAACCATAAACAAACCATTAGACCGGATCTAATCCTGTCCAAGTTAGTTGATTCAATGATAATAATAATAATAGAAATAATGATAATCAATAATAATAATAATAATAATATTGATGAACCATTTTAACTGTCATCAAACTTACTTTTCAAATCAGTTACAGTCGCGCCATACAGAAATCAATTTTCAGTTTCCAACAGTTTTTTGGACTAAAATGGCTTTTCCTTTCATCCATTTGGTTTTGACTTTCAACTTTGTCTTTCTTTTTCTTGATTATCGTTGATAATTCATGATTACCTCTCCTCATGTCATATCTTCATCCTTTAACAGTACTGGATCAGAAGGTAGAAAAAATTATTGGATTCAATTGGAAATTTAGCTACGGTTCATCGTTTAGAGAACTTTTGTTCAATTGATAAACATTTGAACTTTATCCATTTCAAAATGGTTCAACTGCATATTAAAGACACATGATTTCAGGTTATCTTCATTTTTTTCCGCTTCAATATCATCCTCTTACAGTTGCACCAATCCTACAGAGTGTATATGTGTGACTCTCATCAATATCGGCCTGAAATATCGTGAATTTATCCATTTATCGTATCAACTGATCGCTTCTCTTTTACCTTTCATGTTTATTTGCTAAATAATTTGAAAAGTGTAACAGCAAATAAAATGAGATAATAGTCAATTGTTTCGTATCTTTATCCAAAATAATGATGACGGACTGGTTAAAATTTGGTTAACCTTTGGTATAGCAGCAACAATAGGCATAAAACAGGCAAAACAGATCTAAATCTATCAGCAACAGCAAAAACAGATAAATTAACAAAGTTGGCTTATTATTGATGAAAATGACCTTTCCAGTTAAAATAGATTTGATGTTTGGACGGCTATTGAGTGATTAGCATGAAATTAGAGTTTGACGCTGGAGAAAAAAAACCTTCGGCTTCCCACCTTGTATTCATTTAGCTTTAGTTCATCTACAGAAGAAATATAAAGTTCTGATGAACAGATTTTTTTCTCTATTTCTGTTGGTTCGTTCCAAGGTGAAATCTTTCCTTTCTTTACAGGCATTACAAAAAAATAACATTTAACATGATCCACCTAACATCTAATTCGTATCAGATTGATGAGTTTAGTTCTTGTATAATGAGGTGTATTGGCTTGAATATTTGAGTGTGTGAAGGGATAAAACAAGAAGTGGTGGTTCTTTGGCAAAAACATTCATTGTTAAGACAGGTAATCACGCTTATCAGATGAAATTTCCAACAGATTAGGGTGAACTCATGCTGATGCATTCTTTTATCTGGAATCAGGATTGAAAGGAAAAAGTCAGGTCCATAGTAATGATTAATTGACAGGTAAAGAGTATAAAAAGCAGCAAACAGTGAGCATTGTTTTGTTGGGCACTTTCCCTGTTAATGAAACTAAAGCGTCCTGGTGAGTCTTGTATGTGTTTGTGTGAGTGTTGACTGTGATGGAGGTTGATATTGATGATAGCTAATTTAATTCAAATCAAGTAGCCAATTAAATGATCAAAATGTGTATTGATTATTATCATCGCTCTATTTGGACATCAAATAATGTAATAATAATCAGGCGACTTTTCCACTTGAATAAGTTAACAGTATTTTTCAACGCCAAACAGACACATGTGAATGCCTTTTTTACATTACAGCAATGTAATCCATTAATGGTTATAGAAGCTTTTCCTGTTACAGAAAATCAGGTCTATTGGACCTAATCAGCCCTTTCCAACAAAAATATATTGAATATCCATTATTCAAGGTTCACCTTCATTCTTGAATCAACCAAAAATTCACAATCTTCTAAAATTTGGACGAAAGTAAAAAAAAATAAAAAAAAGAGCGTCAAACAAAAAGGCATTTTCACTTGTGAAGTTGATCCACTTCTGGAAAGTCAATCAATCATGGGAACAAAATGAGCTTTAATACTTACATAAACATTCTGATTGCTGATTCCTTAACATCCACCTCTTCCACCATCAATAGTTGATTAAATTGATTGGGTTTGATTAGTTAAATTTAATGGGATTCAATCAAGTAAAAGTAAACTGTTGGTGTTAACCATTTGTGTTGGCTTAAAAATTAACAGGATTATAAAATTACAAAATTGGCGCGGGGGAAGATTGACCAGTAAGAAGAGCTTAAGCTATGACGAAACAGCTAAGCGAAAACAAACGAATTAACTACGCCATATAAAACTCTCACATGTTTGCTTAACATTGTTAGCTTTTTTTTGCTTGTTGCTTATTTTAATGTTTTATTGTTATATTTCGCTTTATGTAATCAATTATATTGTTCTCAACAAATCAGGTATGTGATTATAAGGAAGTTTAGTTGACCACATTAAATTGAATTATCATCTTAAAGCGGCACATCTTCCCTTTCACCTTATACTCAACATATGGACACCATTAGAGCTTTCATCATTTTGTTGAGACTTTTTTTTACTTTGACTAAATGGGAAAAGATTACAATTAATTGATTCCAAACGATGTTCACCAGTCTATATCAGTCAAATCACTGTTCGTTATAGCTAATTGTGCCCAATATGTTTGGTTAAGGGATTTTGTGATCCTTTAGAAGAGTAAAGAACAAAACAAGTTGTCTTAATGAAGTGAAGTAACCAAGAAGATTATCATTATTATTGTTGTGATGATGGTTAGAATGATGTTTTTTGATTATTATAAAAGGTGAGACAACAAAAAAAAAGTTACATCAACAATAACAATAACCAAAAGAAAGGTAATAATGATTTAGGTGATGTTAACTGCAAGTTCAGTTTTGTGCAATCAGTTACAGCAAAATCTTTTCATTTTCTTCTTCATCTTCATCAATGAATCCAAGATTTTGTGTGAAAATTAGCCCTAATTATATTGTATTATTTCTTCTTTCAGGTAATCATTGTTTTCTTTCTCTTTCATCAAGATTAGGTCTCTTAACCTGGGATCAACATTTAATTATTATTGGTGTTTTGGAGTCACAGACAGACACACAAATACAATCAAAGATTCAAGCAAAAAAACAATCAAACAAAAGTCATGTTTAGCAAAAATCCATGAGCAGTTGATGATTAGCAGTTGATGTGATGCACTCATTTTTACCCTTTGAATTGCCCACGCAAATTTCAATTAGTTAATTAACACCACAATTGGTTATTAGGGCGTGAGATTCGAACTAAAAGCAGAAGATTAATTTAATATTTGAAGGTAATAAACGCCTTAGATGATGAACACGAGCTGATGCTGTTTGTATATATTTATATACCTATTAAGTCAAAATTGGACACAAATATAAACACTGAAAGAGTAAGTCAATTGTAAATAATAACTCAACGATTGTAGAATTGTTTATTCTTGAATGAAAAATGATTCTAATATGAGTAGGTGAAAGTGCTTCTTTACTTTTATTAGCTTAGTCTTTTGACGCTATTGAACACTATTGAATTCAAATTGTAAGGTAAACACGATTGATCAACAGTCAAGGTGGAAGACAATTAAAATTTGTCAAAATTTAGCTTGTAATTGTAATCAGTCACAGTAGTTATCTTGCAAAACTTGAATTAATATTGTAAGTGAAAGATTGAAAGGTAAATTATACGTTGTTCATGTTTACAAATATTGAATAATCTGAGATTAACACACCGTAATTAATTTTGTTTCACTAGCAGGATGTTTAATAAACATTATCATCATAAAGAATGGCAAGGATTGTAGACAACAATTGATTATCTAATCATTGGCCAGAAGAAACAATGATGAAAGTTAACAATCACCGTTTACTAATGCATTTGGTGGCTTGCATGAGAAGATGAATATTATTCAGTTATTATCAAATGACCTTATCCATTGGAGGTGAAACTAATCGCCAATAACAATTACCAATAATATTAATGGTTAACTGATAGCCTTGGTTTGCTTAAATCGTGTATATTGATTAATCAAATTGATCAAGAAAGTTAATTATGCCCAATGTTGATAAGAATGGAAAACAAACCTTTGTACAAACGAATCAATGGTGTAATTCAATGGGAACCTCAACCAGTTACCAACACTGAATGATTTGTCCATTGTAAATATACAAATATGGTATTTCCATCGATGAAACAATAACCAGTTGTAATCAAAACAGGTAAATGATATTCATTGTTGATTACAATTTAGTGATTAGTCATTTAATCACGATTCCAGGTCCAAAACAAAAAGCTCAACCCAACTCAAAACTTGATGTTATTAATGAAAAGAAAGCAAATTTACTCCAATGACTTGGGTCATTTCATCACGATTTCAACTTTAATCTTAATCAATTCACCCCAAACAAATCAAGTGATTCCTTTAAATCCTCAAATTAATCAATACTTAACCAGACAAAAAAATCTAGTTTACAATTAGCATGTTAATTTGAGAGAAGGAAAAGCAATCAAACTTGGAACAATTAATCTCAAGCTCAATACAATGCATAACAAGATTATTAATCAACAGTTTAACATGATTTTTTCTTCTTTTCTTACAGAAACGAGATGATAAGTCAAGACAATCATGATGATGGCAATGAGAATGATGGCAATGAAGATACCTTTTTTTGTGTGTTCGGATCAATATCACTTTGATCTTAGCTTAAATTGTGTGTTTAAAAAGCTTTAAACTTGCAAACTGTTTCTCACCAAACAATCATGAATCTGCAAAGTTAATGATTCGTTTAAATAAACATCATCAGCATCTTGATTGTAATCCATCTTCAATAAACTCAGGTGAGAATCAATTGGATGGGTTAACCAATAGATTATTTTCCTCCTTCATCTTCTTCCCTACTTGGGTAGGCAACTAATATAAACAATCATGAAAAACTTCCGGATAAATCACATTCTCTAATAATCAAACCTTGTTGTTTTTTTTCAGTTGACTGAATTACTGATGTACATGATTATTAACTGTTGATCAATCCAACCATGAGGTAAACGTTACTTTTTGTCATCTTCATGATTCCAATAATTATATGTTTCAATGTTAATAGATATGTAAAGAGTTACAAACCTCCTTTTTGTGACTTTGCTTGATTTGATAATGAACTAACAAAAAGCTAATCACAGATTAAGATTTGGATTGATATCCGTTTGAATGTTCAGGCTTTTTTAAATGATTCAGTTAATTTGCGTTTTAATCGTTGAATTTGATTAAAATAATTATTCCAAGTTGATTACTGTTGCTTACTGCAAGAAGCTTTTAAGCCTAGCATTGAGGGTCATTGAGTTGTTTGTGTGGTAACTTAATTTGCATTGAACAACAGTTTAAATAATAACAATTGAAAGATTATTATTTTTATTATTTTAATCATAAACGCCCTGAATATAAATAACATTAACAATTCATATTTTTGCTTTTTAAAATACTTGATGACCAACTCAAAACTTTAAAAATGATTGAATTTTACCTTTAAAATGTATTTAAATAAAGGTGAAAATGTTTTTCAGTTCACTTTTTGTTTTTACTCAAGGATTTACATATTAATAATCATTAGTGAAAACAAAATCAAATCAACAGTAAAAAATAAAACTAAATGAATTAATCTATTAATTGTGATAGTGTTAAATAAAGCAACGGACTAGAATAGTTAACCATTTAAAGGTTTGTTTCATTTTATGCTGTTCAAGTTAAACAGTTTTTTTGCATAATTAAATTAATACAATCACCCGAAGGTATTAATGATTAGGCGATGTAAGTAAATATGATTAGGATAATAACTTGTGTATTACACTCAATAATAAATAGATTTGATTCATTTGTGGTTTCGCTTCAAGTATTGTAATGATAATTTTACGAGAAGCAGTGAAATTGAAGTGTATTATTAACATGAAAAAGAAATGAAAAGTGATGACTTTTTTCGGAATTTCAATAATGCAAATGATTATCTTACAACCTGTAACTCTAATGCTTGACCATTTATGCCCAATACTTTGTTTCAAGTGAAATTCAATGTTATCTTTAAACGTATAACTGATGAGCTTTCTTTCTTTTCTCCCGATTAACTTCTCAACAGGTAACTCTGAAGCCAGGAAAACTGAGGTTGATCATCAACAAGAAGAACAACAACATTTTTATGGCCTTGGAAAGTAAAGAAACACACATTCCAATTCAAATGAGCTCTTACAATTAAGGAATGAAAGTCTTGTTATGTAGAGCACCTCTATGGACGTTAACAGGAGAGAGCCCAAAATGAGGAAGATAATGATGATAATGAAGATGATAATAGTGATGGGGATGATGATAAAACAAAACTGTATCTACTAGCGTTGCTGGGTCCGATCGTGAGGATGAAATGTTAGTATGATAAAAGATGATGTAGAGAGTTGGTAACCACGCCAGTTACCTGACTCACCTTCTCGCTTTCATCTCTTCATCTTCACCAACAAAAACAACAACACCATCATCATCATCATCATCATCCCTTCCTCTTTCTCCCTCAATGATTCATCTATCCTCTTCTCTTCTTTCTCCCTCCTTCTCTCTTTAGATGATCATCTTCTTCTCTCCTCTTTTTTGCTTTCATTCATATTCATTCCAACCAAAGTCCATTAGACAGTAAAGTTACCTGAACACAACTCATCTCCAATTTCATTTAAAAAAACTGATATAACTTCTTGATGCTAAAAACTCGTCTTCATCATCTTCCAACGTGGTATACCTACAAGAAAAAGAAACTATCGGTGAAATAAATTCCTCTCCTTTTCATATAAAATAGTGATATTAACGCAAACTTACCCTTTTTATCGCAACCTTTTTTTGTGCTAGAAAAAAAAGCGTTTTATCTTCTCTTTTCCCTCCATTGGCCTTGGATGACTATTAAAGCCAAGTTTATCTTCTGACTCTTTCTCTTCTTCTTTCTCTTTCCTTGCAACGCACTCCCTTTAATTGTTACCATCTCTCTCTATCTCTCTCTTTTTTTTCTTCATGCATTTCTTGTTCAACAAAATCTTAAGATTTTGAGCGCGCCTTGCTGTACTTCATGCTATTTCATTTTAAAAGTTACTTCTTGTTGTGTGTAAATTCCTGTTTAAGGTCATTGGAGAAATCATTTGAGAAAATCTTGCTTTCATTTCTTGATTTCACATTTACAAGACAACTTTACATTTACGTAAACAGCAACAAGTGAATTCCAACACATGTTATATTACAAATCAATTGGATTAACTGACTTCTCTTCTTGTTCAATTTGTTAAATATTTGTAGTTTATTTACCAACCAAGTGAACGTTTCAATTTTACAAGGGAAGAAGTTTGGGTAAAGAAGAAACTGCTCTACTTTAAAGCTAATCATGTCTCATATATATCATGGACGGAGTCCAACATCTAGAACTCAATTTCCCATCATTGTGACCAAGGCTAAACATATTTTACCGCCCAAGAGGACCTCATCAACATCATCATCATCTCGTCGAACAGGATTAAGTAAAAGTAAATCATCTCGATTGTCTAATATAGCTATTATAAGTCAAATGAATGGCCACCATAACTATCATCATCACCTTAAAAGTAACTCATCAAGTCCAGTTGATGGTAAAGGACCATTGAATGGATCACCAACTAGTGAAGTTTACGGTAGTGTTAACCGAAATGGTTCATCTGCTTCGTATGGATCCTCTTATCGTGGAAGTGACAAAATGTATACTCGCAATAAGGCAACTTATAAAACCAATTTGAATGAGGAAATCAACCGGATGTATATTGAAGAAGGCCTTAAATCAGGTCTGCTGGAGAAAACCAAAATTAAAAAACCTGATGGAACTGGTAACGGTATTAATGGTGTTGGTGGTTACAGTGAAACTGATGGTGCTTCTGACGGTACTGGTCGTTCTAATGGGAAATTAATCAAAGGCAAATCATCTTCATCTAAATCAAAATCAAAGTCACAATCGAAAGGAAAAAAACGAACTGTTAAAGAGTTACAAACATTCATCATGAGACGCATTTTATTATGTACCAATATTGTTAGTTTACTGATTGGTATAGCCTCTCTGGTAGCCGCTGGAATCCTTGATCCTCAACCTCTTCACCGAATCGGTACAACAGGAGGCCAAGTATCTCTGGCATCAATCTATATCATCTTTGTTTCCCTCGTTGGCCTCTATGGATCGAGGCTAAAAAATTATCGTCTGCTGTTTATTTACGCTTACACATTATTGACTGGTTTAGTATTGAGATCGTTTGCTGCTCTTCTCTCTGTGTACATCTATCACAATGCTAACCGACTTATATTTTCAATGCTTTTCGCCATAATTGAAGTTATTCTGATATTCATGGGTCTTGCTGTAGCAATTGATCTTAAAGAGGAACATTTGCGTAAACTGTTTCAACAATCATCGACCAATACGTTCAAAGTTTAACAAATTAGTTTCTCTTCTAAAGAAATGCAAACTGTCTTTTTTAACCATCTAAATTGTGCCATCAAGGAAAATCAGGAGATGAATTAATGATTCTTCATCCTATTTACTTCTAATCTTCAACATTGTTACCTCAACAGACACAAAAATTTCTCCCGATAGATCAGTCAATATTGTTGATCATTCAATTGATTGTTTTTTATTGTTACTTGTCATATTGTTATTGCCTACAATTTTCCCTCCTTTGGGGAAAGTTTTTCCTTATGCGGTGAAACCTGTTGTTCCAAGTTTTTCTGGTTATTATGTACATAGTGTACATAAGCTTACAACATAAAAAATGAACAAATTGACTTTGTTTTCCTCCAGATGCTAAGAGTAACAGCTCAATCAATGCTGAATCAACACTAGAAAATTGTTCAAATATGAATTTGAATTTAAGGACAATGTTGCTTTGGCGAATGTTTACTTATTAATCCGTCCATTGACACAAGGAAAGTAGACTAAAATTCACTATTAATCATCTGATCTCAAAAATTTATGAAGTTGGATGAAATGCAATCCAATTAAAAGTTTTTTTCAACATTGAATTGCAAACATTTTCGGGAAAAACAAATAGTCAACATTTAACGACTTATGGTGAGAATTTACTTTCAACTCTAAATTCTTAACTTTAATCAATCTTATTAACTGAATCATTTTCTATTTTCTTACCATTCCAGGTCAATTATCGTCAAAAGGATCAATACTGCAAATACTGCAAATTGGTTAAAGTGAAATACTGATCTCGATCCTTTAACGGCTATTATCAAGTAAATTTTGGACCTCGACTTCAACCATCTACTTTTTGACAAACTTGTTGGATGTATCACTTTGCATAGTTTCTTATCGATCTCTGTTAATCAGTTGAGATATCATTCGACTTTTGGATTTTAAATTTTTATTCATTCCGAACCATTTTTGACCGTCTTATGGACTTCCAGTACAATTGACTTTCTCCAATTAACTAGACAAAATGACCCTTCTTTGATCTTCGATTATGAAGGCCTCCATTGATTGAATTATTTAATTCATGTAATCACGAAAAGCAATCTGCATTTATTTTGCTGACCAAATGCTATTATTTTTTTGATAAAATGACAAATTCAAGAAAACAAGTATTTTCTTCGATTCGAACATAATAATGTTATCTTTTTAATTCTGAGAATTTTTCATTTTCATATTAAAGTGATGTAAATAACCATGAAATTGTTTTCGACGTGATTAGTATTAATAGTGACTGAGTAAATTTAATAAGATTGAAGATAAACCTAGATTCAAAAAAGTCATAAACTTGCGCTCGAAAAAATGATAAAACATTTCAATAAGAGTTTAGTTTGATTAATTATCAAAGCAAGCTGTCCAAGTTTAAAAGGTAGAGACATGTGGAAAAATGTCAAGACATTTAAAATTAAATTATTTTTGAATAGTCTCGTCTTATGACCATGAATTCATTTTCCCTCCATCTAAAAGTACTTTGATAACCTTGAATTGCGGAATCTCATGAAAGGCGTCAATCAAGTTTTAAATCAACAATCTCTTGTTAACAAAAACACCATTTGCAACGCAAATTCAAATATCATTTTTACTTGGTAATTATGATTATCAAATAGAAATAAAAATACATTAGCTTTGTATTCTTTGTTTAATGTAATCATCTTCAACAGGTTTTTTATTCGAATCTGTCGTAATGAGAAATCAACATTTCCCAAGATTGAAAGTCATTTAATTAATTATCTATCACTGGTAAACAATTAACCAAAGTACTCGATGCTAATTTCAGATGATTTGTTTTTAAAAACAAGACTCAAAGTTGATTGAGCTTTGCTATGATTTCAAAGACGATTTTTCGAGTATGCAAAAAATGAGGTGACAGTTTTTTTGCTCGCTTGTGTAGATGATTTAGATAATCCAATGATGATGCATATGAAGTACTTGTGATAATTCTTAATCTATGTGTCCAAGATTAATAATTAGTCGATAATTTAATGGTATCCGAGCTTCAAAATTATCAAGTTTTGTCATATTGACCAAGAACTTCGGAATGGAAGTTTCAGCGGATTGAAAGTAGAATATGAATATTGTTATTAAATAAAGTTTATTCATGAAAAATTGTTCAAAAAGTTGTTGATTAAATAGATGGTACTCCTTAAATTTTTTTCAAATTTTGTCTTTTAATCGTTTTAATATACTTTTAATAATCAGCATAATGATTGAGGCGGTAAAGAAAGGCTTTACCTCTGTTGTTAGCCATAGCAATGTAACCGCTATTAGGTGATATATCGACTTCATTGATGCGATGGTAAAGTCCATTTGGTTGAGGAAAGTTGGAAAAAACAGTGCAAGACGGAAAATGAGCTAATCTTATTGCATTGTCGGCATAGCTTGATGAACCAGCTAGTATTTCAGATGTATGGTTGAACTTGAGACAGGTAATGGGATTAGTTAGATTAGCGAAACTTTTCAATGGCTTCGGATTTTGACTGGAAAGGATATCCTCATATTTGTAGATATTTAAAAGGCCTGATTGATCTCCTGATACAAAATAATTACTATTTGGGGAGATTGCGAGATATTGACAGCTTAAACCACCATCATCAATGAAGCGATGAATACATCTTCTAGTTTGTCTAACATCATAGACATAAACAACTCCTTCGTCACCGCTTGCAAATAATTTAGTGGAATCGGGCGAGAAACAGACAGATCGAACTTCATCGTTAAGCCTAAAAGAGGCTACATTCTCTTTCGGGTTCATGGTGAAAAGATAGAAATTACCTTTAATACCACAGCTTGCCAGATATTTACCATCGGGAGAAAGAGCGAAATCTTTCAACGACAATCGACTATTAGATTTAAAAAAAGGTACTTTCGTAACTGCGCCACTAATCATTTCATATGTAAAGAAATGGCCTTGTGTCGATTTAGACCCTATGATAATTTCTCTGCCATCTATAGAAAAACGGGCTCGACTCAGGTGAAAGTTTTCCAGTAAAATAGAATTAAGCTTAGCATTTTCATCGCCATCTACTTGCACAAGATTGATTTGACCGATGACACCAGCAATAAGAGCAACATTAGAGGAAGGGTGGAATTGCACACTTGTTATTAAACCCTAAAAACAAAAATTGTTTGGAATTAATAAAAACTGGAATAAATGGAAACAGAGTAAGTTCACAAATTCAATACATACCGGGATAGTTTCACTGGTAGTTAAACTAGCACATCTAGAATATTCAAGATTGGTTTTATGTAGCCTTTTTCCTTTTGTCACGATATCTCCAGCAACACCGAAGAGATCATCTTCTTCATCATCCGAACCATCTTTAATTCGCTCTCCGTCTTCGCTAGCCCATTTTGGTCTCCCATAAATAGCTTCAAATTTGTCTACCAAATGAGAACGGTAATCTGTTTCTTTAACCACTTTCTTAGGATATTTTTTAGCATGGGCAAAACCGTCTTTAGCTCTGAAATAACAAATAAAGGTTAATATCACACATATGGAAAAGTTCAAGCACTCGACTCACGTTATATGATCATCGTCATCAATCCATGCAGCTTTTTTAAGTTTCTTTTGATTAGGCTCAACAGAATCATTGGAAGAAAGAACGGGATCAGAATGAATAGAGCCAAAGATGAATTTTTCCAAAGCCTCCTCTTCAAGATCACGTTTTTCTGTTTCTACTTTTTCATTTATTGGAGTTATAGACTCTTCCTCGCAATTAGAAATAGAATCGTCAACCAGACTTTTATCAGGAAGAGTATCAATCTTGAATAACTCCATGTTGAATACAAAAAAAATTAATAAGTTACTAAAATAAAATTATGATATCGGCAAACTTTCACAGAAAACACTAAAAGAAAAGAAAGGAAACATGTGTTAAAGGTTTAAAGAAAAGTTGAAGGCGGCTCTAGAAGGATTTAATCCTCGTTGACGGGTGGTATGAGTCTGCCCCGATGGTTAAATGTATAGAATGATGGTCGATTCTCCAAAGTTTCACAAGTTTTTGATTGTAATTCGTTTAGAGCACGAATTTCTTTAAATCCATCACACAATTGAACAATTCCAAAAAGAGAAACAAAAAGGCTGAATAAGGCTTGCAAAATTATATCAGCCGGCAAAAATCCGTCAAAATCTTGTTCTATTAAACGAAGATGTGATCGATATTGGGCAGCAGAATAACCACAGTGAATGAGTGAAAGAATACCAGCAATAATTAATACTTTAGACATGATAATTATCAATTAAATTAACATTTTTGGGTTAAATTTCCACAATCCATAAACTTAAGCCTACTTAAACCTTAGGTTTTGGTAACTAGGCAACTAGCTAGTTAGGGGGAAATTTAAAATTGCTTAGGTTTAGCAAAATATTAAATGATTTATAACTTTACAATTAACATTTTGGCTAAAATGATTGTAGATCTTTAAAAAATAAAACGTTTAAATTTAATACTTTGGGATTTAATATTATTTGCAAAAATATTTTTTACAAATGTGCTAGTTGAGCAAAACGCTCCTTCTAATCTAGTATTATGTAAATACATGATATATTTATAATGAGCATGTTAATTAACAGCTTTCGCTATTTGACAACTGATTTGTGAGATTAAGGACAACCAAAATCATGATCATCGAGATTCCGAGAGTTATGGTTCATTTTGATCAACTCAGCTGAGTTGTGAAAAGTAGAATCATTAGTAAAACCTTGATTCTGTATAATTCATAACGAAATGTATTACAATGAGACAAAATCAAATGTTGATCAACTCTATTGCTGGCAAACCAAATTAATTTAAATTTGCAAGTGCTGGAAGTTTAAAGTGTCTATCTAATGATTTTAAAACCTTATCCTTAAACAGCTTAAACTCTAGAACGGTTTAAATTTTGTCTCATTTTTATCATCCATACGTTATTGCATATTATTGTTAGCATTCATTTTAATATCGTTTTTGAAATAAAAGCATTCATCACAAAGACTTATTTTTCTTGATTATTATTTCGGCAAGATTTTTCCAAATTAAAATAACTTGGTTGATTGAAAATACTTTTGCTAGCTGTAAACAAATCACTCAATGTTCATGCTCCACCACTCAATTTGCAGGCAAATCTGACAATTAGATACTCAATTGTTACAGTTCAAAAATTATTCGTCTATTCGCAAACAGCTCAATGCAATAAATTTTCTTCATCGAAACACAGAATATGTAAGCGCAAGCAAAAATATAAAGACCATTTACGAACAGACTTATGTCGATCAACAAATGTTCAAGTCTTCTGAAAATATTGTTTGGATTAGTTGGGAGAACAGTTGATATTTCTTCAAGCATCTTGATTCTTCAATAAACTGAAATCCAAAGACCAGTACTCCAGAAGTCAAGATGAAGCTCAAAGCTTTAATCCATAAAATGGACTTCCAAGAATTGTTTTGATCGGATCAATTGGGTGCCGCTGTAAATGTGGTAAACTTGGACGATGAGTCGGAATCCAATTGTGCTTTCAAATAATGGTTTGAACTGAAAATAAAAAGCAAAATAAAAGTCAAAAAGGATTGTGAAAACATGCAATTCATTATCAAATATGGTAAACGGAAATATTAAAGTAAATTCACCCAACTAATGATTGAAAATGGTTAATTAACAAATTCTCAAAGGCAATTAGATTCAAGCAAATCTGCTTCTCAAGATATTTATTGCTAATGATACAGAGGAATTTATTTCCATAAAGTTAACTCAAAATGAATGTTGAACAATGGTCTTCACTTTTTTCCAATTATTGCAGCCATCAAGCAAAATTATTGATTTTATTCACTTACAGGTAAGTATTGCCTACCTGGTTGGTCAGTCCTTTTGAAAAGTGTTCATTAATTTAGTTAAACTTTAAATGATTGACACCAAAATTACATAAAACTTTGTTATTTTCCATCGCATTATTGACATTAGTTAACCAAAGCCATCATTATATTCATCATCATTATCTTTGTTGATCAGGTAAGCTGGTAAAGAGGGAGAAGAAGTAAAAACAGAGATTTAATGAGATGAGTGAGTCTGAGGGAAGGGAAGAGGAAGCGAGGAGGAGTTGAGGTCCATATTTTGGCAGCAACTAGAGAGGACACTTTATCCGTCCATAACAACAGCAAAAATGAACATGTCATGTACTTCACCAACTAGGATATTGATTATGATTATTGTAAAACTATTGTTTACTCTTATTTGCTTTGATTTGATTGTTTCAACTGGCTCAACCAGCAATAAGTCGCCTTTATCTTCAACCTTATCAACACCATCATCGTCTCCTTCAAAAATATCATCATCACTATCACGAACACCTGGACTCTCAAGTGGTTCTACCTTAAGTGTTCGTTGTCCTTTGCCACATTTAATAAAACCATGTGATTGCATTGAGATTGAAAAAGGTGTGGACAGTGAATTTAAAGATAGCGAATTGGCCGATTCAACCAATGAAACTGATATATTGGACGATGACATTTCTTCAGATGAAATCAGTTCAAATATAAACCGTGAACCTCATCCAGATACCATTGAAACTGTTGTTTTCTGTAAACACATTTATTCAAGGAAACAGTTGATGGAGAGCATGAAAGCCTTTTCAGGACATCGGATAAACTATCTTGTCATCGATTCGTGTTCAATTCCACCTTTTCCCACCAATATTTTCAGTAAAATTAATATCATGTGGATGGAAGTACTGAATTCAACCATTCAGTTTCGTGAAAGTTTCTTTGAATGCGGCCCTAATTGTCTGTGAAACTCCAATTTTTCTCAAAATAAAGGACAATAAACAAAATCTTTGGTCGTAATCATTTCTTTAATGGGACTAGACTCTTGGAAATTAGAAATTATCAGTAATTTGAATCACCATGTTTTAAAATTCATCAACTTGTTTCAAATTTTCGTGAACAATGATTATCTGTCATTAATCAATGTCTGAAAGTCTTATTCAATCAAACGAAAATGTGATCAAAGTTGGACAGAAGAATAAACAAAATTAATAAATATAAGAATGCCAGCAGCAATCAACAATTAAATTAACGTTTTTTGGGTTAAACACTGGTTCTCTCAACCCATATATGTAAGATTAGACTTGAAGCTGCTTAACTCTTACATTAGATTTGGTAGCTGACGGGTAACTAGAAATCAGGAGGAAATTGAGATTTCTTTCAGCCTATTCTGAACAAAATACAGTAAATTAAATCTCATTTTTACATTCTTAAATTTTTAGAAACGAATCGTCTTCACAAAAATCTATGTAAATTTTTTAAATTATACTAATCATTTAATTTAGTATTGAAATCAATCAATGAACTCTAACAACCAAAAAAACACTGGAATTGTACAAGCAATTAATAATTTAATCTTTTAAACAATAATATCAATCAGGTTTTTTCATTGAAATGCCCGCAGTTTAGAAACAGCCTGAAACGCATGCGTGAAATGAAAATGCGGAAAAAAACATGATTCAGAATTGAGTAAACCCAAAATACCAGTTAAATTTTGGTTATGAGGATTCTTTTTTTAATCAGAACCTCTTTCTAATAAAATATTAAAATATTATATTATGTCTAAAGTGTTAATTATTGCTGGCATTCTTTCACTTATTCACTGTGGTTATTCTGCTGCCCAATATCGATCACATCTTCGTTTAATTGAACAAGACTTTGACGGATTTTTACCAGTCGATATAATTTTTCAAGCCTTGTTCAGCCTTTTTGTTTCTCTTTTTGGGATTGTTCAATTGTGCGATGGATTTAAAGAAATTCGTGCTCTAAACGAATTACAATCAAAAACTTGTGAAACTTTGGAGAATCGACCATCATTCTATACATTTAATCATCGTGGTTCAATAAGTCACTATAGAGACCATTGATCAGTATCTCATCTCAAATAATTCATTCACTCTCTTTCTCTTTTTCTTTTGACTCTTTCTATACATCTTTCTTTTCTGTATTTTTTTGTGAAACTTTCATCCAATTCAACTAATACTTAATAGATTTCTTTTTTTTGTACCATTCTTCACGTTATCTAAAATTTTCTTTTCAACTCTTCAAAAATGTATATATCACCAGCACCGCCTGAATCGTTTGCTTATGATCCCGAGTGTGTAATATTAAATAAAGCTTGTAAAGGTGATGGCTGTCTCAAGGAAACAGTGAATAGATGTTCATCAAGTCTCAATGATAGTTATAGTCCACCATATCACTGCTATGTAGTTTGGAAAAATACAACAGAAGGTGTATCAATCGAGTTGAGAGGCTGTGTCTCTGGTAAAGATTTTACTTGCAGTAAATCTTGCATTGAACGTAATCGCTCACCTAAAAACGGTCACTTCTTTTGCTGTTGTTCAACTGATTTGTGTAATGAAAATTTTTTACACTTACCTGCTGAAGAAGTCAACAAAATTGAACTTGCACCTACTCAACAAACTACAACATCTAACTTTGATTCAGATTTTTTTTGGATATCTATTTATATTTTTATACCCTCAATCATCATCTTAGGGATTATCCTAATCTTAAGTTGGTACCAACGTAACAAGTCACGAGCATTCAATGAAGAGTTAAGCAACAGTGATGAATCTACTCCTATTAATGAACAATCCTTTTATCGATTTAAAAATCTAGAGTTGGATGGAGAGCAGTCTAGAGGTAGATTTGGTGCTGTTTGGAGAGCTCGTTTACCCAATGAAAGTGGTTTCCTCGATGAAAAATGGGTAGCTGTAAAGATTTTTCCTGCTCACGAGAAAAATTCTTGGCTTACTGAACAGCAGGTGTTTATGTTACCTAAATTTGAGCACAAAAATATTCTTCCATTTTTGGGCTTTGAGAAAAGAGAAAATGATAATGTGCCTTATGGAATCGAGTATTGGATCATCAGTGAATTTCATGAGCTTGGATCACTTTATGACTATCTTAAAAGTAATACCATTGAGTTTTCTGATTTCCTGAAAATTTCCGAAGGTATTGCTTGTGGTCTAGCTCACCTTCACGATGAAATTCCTTCCACAAAAGCTGGACAAAATAAACCCGCCATTGCTCATCGAGACTTCAAGTCAAAAAACGTTTTGTTGAAATCAGATTTGACTCCAAGAATTGCTGATTTTGGACTATGCTTGGTATTTTATCCTGATAGACCACCAACTGATTTGGGACAAGTTGGTACTCGTCGTTATATGGCCCCTGAGGTTCTTGAAGGAGCTATAAACTTTTACCGAGATGCTTTCACCAGAATTGATATCTATGCTTTTGGCTTGGTTCTTTGGGAGCTAATTTCTCGGTGTAAAGGGGAAGATGGAACAATCCTACCTGATAAATATATGTTACCATTTGAGGAAGAAGTTGGTCTTAATCCAACCTTGGAAGATATGCAAAGGGTCGTCTGTCAAATGAAAAGAAGACCTGAAATCAAACCAATATGGCGTAGTTATCCAGCTACAAGTCAAATATGTGAAACCATTGAAGAGTGTTGGGATCAAGATGCTGAAGCTCGACTCTCTGCAAGTTGTGTTATTGAAAGAATTTCACAATTAATGAAATCCAAAACATCACTGACAATTGAATGAAATCAATCATTCGACAATTCAAATCGAAGATTCAACTTACTTGACTACGTTTCAAATTCTACACCAAATATCATTAGATTGGTTTCAGATATTCCGGAATTCATGGTCACATCAATTATCACTTAAATTTTGTCTACCTCAAAAAATGTCCCAATATCAAAAGATCGCTCACCAAACCCTCAAAATTTCATTTGTTTACATATTACCATCATCTGAATCAAAAAACCTTGCTCATCTCAAATACATCTTCAAAAGACAAAAAAAATTAATTTTTTAAAGATTCCAGTTACCTACATTCATCTTCATTAATTGGTTCATTCTTTGTATTTATCATTATCATTATGTATGTAATTTAAAAAAGCAAATATCTTTCGCAAAGCGAAATCAAAAATACTTTCTTCAAGTCATTATTTACGCTGTGCCGTAAAATTTGATCAAAACATTGAAATTATTAATTTTTTTTTGTTTTCTTCTAATTTTATCAATTTATTTTTGCAAAATTATTATTAACATCTAACCAACAATTATAATTGAAATTAAACATTTTCAATTCCTCTAAGTTATCACGCCCATTGTGAAATTAACTTCCTTAATTGTGAATTTGTACCCACTTAAGTTTACTGTTTTGTTATGGAACTCTTATTCTGATTAAAATTATTCAAGCAATTAAATTTAATCAATAATTGAAGTATATTTATCTCAATCTCATGCAACTTGAAAATCTTAATAAAATTACGAGTACGATTTGTTGCTAAAAAGACACAATAGGCACATTTATGCACAAATCAACTGACTCAACGCACTGTTCATGATGTTGTTCTGATGATTCTCATATTCTTAACTCTGTAAACAAATAAACGATAAATTTGAATGAAATGCTATAAATGTTCATTGTTAAAATAGAAAGGAATTCAATTTTTATTCAATTCAAATTGTTTCGATTTTTATCATCATTATGGTTGTCAGCTCTAACATCAATCTCTAATTTTGAAAAAAGATTAGCAGTTAGCTTTAAGTAAAAATCACTGGTCAGTTTTCGCAATGTTTGCACCCGTTTTCGCTCATTTGTGTTAATTTGTTCATAAATGTTATAATTGTGTTAATTTTGTAACAACCAAAATTTTTCCATCGCATATTTTTCCCTTTAAGGTATCATATTGTCAAACATTTTTCTTGTGAAGTACGTGTAAACTTATCAAAAGCGATGCTAAAAAAAGTTGGGTATGTTGGTATTTTTGGTGCAAAAAGGCGATGGACAAAGTGGTGGAACCAAGTCCGTCCCAATTTTAATTACACTGTAGCTTCAAACAAAATATGCGTTTTTCATTCTCTTCATCTGTTCACCAACATTCTTGCATCTTCTTGTTTTCAAACTCAAACGTTGTAGTTGAATTATAGTAAAATGGTGATTCTGATTTAAGTCTTTATTAAAAATTAAATTAAATTACAGTAATTTTGAATTGTTATTAATTAAAATAACCAAATTAACAGTTTAAATTCAAACAGTCGCGCTTATGAACCGCCGATCAATATGGCCGGCTGTTGCTCCACCTACATTGTATTCAATACACTGTATTCAGTATTCAATCTTTGAAGGATTGATTCAATGGATTATTAAATGTCATCAAAAATCTTCTATTTTATTTCATTTCAATTTTTTTATTTATTTTGGTTTTAGTTTCGCCTAGAATTGAACTAATGAGCAAATTATTAAGCCGTGAATTTGATTGTTCTCAACAAATCGTGGTTATTCAATGAGCAAGATGCGTCTGAAGAAAAGTTTTGTGAAGAAATAAGATCTAAGAAGGTAAGCTTTAACATCTTGTCTCTTTCTTCTCCCTCTTTCTATCCTTTTCCTCTGCATTCTGTTTCTTTTGTTTTTCATTGTATCATCTTGTGTTAAATTTTATATTTATCTTGTAATTGTTTCTGTTCATTTTCTAACTTTGATTCAATTATTGATAATTTATTGCCATCGTTTTTTGTTCTTCTTTATGTTTATTCTATGAGGTTAATTTTAATTCCAAAATCTATGTGTCTCACTAACTGTTGATCTTTTTTCTTTAGGATTTACCGAAAATTTATTTAAATAGTTACTTGAAAGGAATTAACCATGGCTGGGAAAGTCAGCTCTTGGCTCTATGAAAAAAGATCTTTGAAAAAACCCAAATTAGGTCCTTCGGATGTATATCCACAAGAACCTAAGCAGAAAGAGGTGAGTAAATTATTAACAGCTTTTTGACAAGCTTTACAAGCTTTATCTCTCTTTTCATATTAGGATGAACTGACAGCCATTAATGTAAAACAAGGTTTTATCACTTGTCCGACTATTCAAGAAGAATATGGTTCATCAAGAAATGCGAATATCACGCCCAACAAGTTTGGTGCTTTTTTCTCAGCCTTACTTTCGAAGAAACAAGAGCTCAATACATTACAAGACACTGGTAGAAGGAAGCCTCAGATTAATCCAAAGGATAACATTTGGCTGGTTACACAAAGATCTAAACCAGCTGTTGATACTTGGTTTCGCGATCTTGCTTCTGGTACTAAAACGTTAGCTCAACTTTCGCGTAAAGTACCTATATTTAATAAAAAAGAAGAAATTTTCCTCCAGCTGTATGAATTTCAAGTTCCCATGTTTAAAGCAAATTGGTTTATTAAAATGTCTTCAGCATACTCAATTGCATTATCTGGTAAGTATTCGTTTGATTATTCTCATATATTCCTGACTTTTGACATAATTTTCACTCTCTTCCTTTTTGTCGCAGAAACCGCCAATAAAAGTAAGAAAAGACAAGTCATCGATCAATCTCAAGAATGGACTGGTATTTTATGTAGATTCTTACGTGATCTATATCAAAAAATCTGTGAACATTATCATGGAGGTAATACCTCATCAGTGGCCCCATCATCATTTTCTAATAGTGTTTCTCCAAGCTCTGCTAATATAAATATTGATGTTGTACAAAAACAGTGGCAGTACTCCTGTCAGTTGGCTCGTTCACTTTTTGAAGAAGGCCTTTTAGACAAACAAGAATTTCTTAACTGGATGCTAGACATTCTAGAGAAAATTAAAACAGCTGACGATTCTGTGATGAGAGTTGTGGTGACACTGATTTTGCAATATGTAGAAGATTTCACCGAATCTGAGCTTTGCTCTCGTAAGCTTGCTTATCAATGTGCCATCAAGCTTAACCAACTTGTATCAAGTTATAATAGTGTATCTTCGTTAAACTCATCGAATAATTCGAACTCTTCTATATCTTCACCTGGACCCAACGATAGCTCATCCTCTATTACAAATGGGCAGACTGTGAATAGATCAGGGTCTCCTACCACTTCACCGACTTCCAATTCCACGACATCTGTTGAACCATTAATAATAAGTTTTCGTGATCTCCTAAGCTGTCCCCATCATCGTAATATTGCTATTGGGTTATCTGCTATCATCCAAATCATCACTTTAAAATGTCCAACTGCTATGGTTTGGCATGGTGATGGTCGCTTATCTCCTGCACTAAATGGTTCACCTCTAGATCATCTTCCATGTCCACCTTCAGTTTTACCTATGCCAGTCAGACCTCACAATCGTCAGTTACGTGAAGAGCTTAGAGTAGCTGAAGATGAGATAAGATTGCGAAGTCGTGCGGTAGAAAATAAATGGTGTTCAGATAGATCTCAGCAAACAGCACCCGGTGTCATAATTAATCGACTGCTAAATACCTTAGATTCATTAGATTGTCATTCATTTGAAAAAGTTGAACCCAATAACTCCATTGAGACTCTTTACTCTGCAATATTCAAGAACCAATCTTCCAGCATTGTCAAGACAGATCTCTCTGAAAAGTCCCTCAAGAAGATCATTGCCGAAGATGAACCAATTATTAAATTACTTTGTGAATGGGCAGTGACAACTAAGAGAACCGGTGAACATCGAGCATTAGTAGTAACAAAGCTTTTGGAAAAACGGCAAAATGAACTGCTTGCTGAGAAAGAGAATGAAAAACCCGAAGCTAAGGAAATGGAAACTAATCTGCCAAATGGTTGCAAAAATTCTGAGGCGACATCACTTATAAATGAAACTCCACATCAAATCTATCAAGATTTATTAATGTCTTTCCTCGATACTCAAGCACCAGTTTGGGATGATAAAAATCCAAATCCAGAATCAAAACTAGCATTTTCAAACCTCGTCCTTCTTTTTGGGGAGCTGATCAGGTGTGATGTATTTTCGCACGACGCTTATATGTGTGCTCTTATTTCCAGAGGACAGTTTGCTAATTCACCGAACGCCTCTTCTTTAATACCTCCAATTTCGGATATGAAAATAACGAACAAATCTGAGCAACCTAGTTTAACCAATTTTGTTCCAAATCTTCCATCAGCTACCATATTACCTTCATTAGGTGGTCCAACTTCAAATCTAGTTGGATCTATCGACGTAAATACTCCTAATAGATCATCTGAATCATCTCTTCCTATGTTCGAACCGGTAACTGATCCATCCGGATCCACCAGATCTGATTTAATAGGTAATTGGGAACACTTGGAAATGGACGATGCACAATTGGATTCTGATTTGGGAAAGCTCTTACAACACATAAAAGAAGGGCAACAAAATAACATGAATGATCAAACTGGTAATTTAGCCTTAAAACTTTTTCAAGTCCTTTTTCGATTTTCGAATACCTTCAATATTTGATCGTTTTTAATAATCTTGTTTCCTAACTAAAAAATATACTAATTTACTAACTATTTATGATATTAATTGCATGTACCCTTCATGGCCTTTGAATTCATCTCTACCAATTGAATCTTCTTGATTTTTCTGGTATTTTATTTTAAACCTTTATTTTATTATTTTTATGAGTGATCTAAAATTAGCTTGCTAAATTATTTGTTTCTTTGTCTTTCAGATATTCTTTTACCAGATTCGGTGAGTTCTGACAAAGAAGATGAAGCTGGTAGTATTCTCGCTAATATGGGATTTGGACAACAAGAATCAGGACCCAAAGTTCACGTCCAAAGACATTTACTTTATACAACTCATTTTCCTTTACCGCAAGATGAAACAACTAATCATGACTGCAATCAGAGACATGTACTTTTATATGGTGTTGGTAAAGCACGTGATGATGCTAGACATACGGTTAAAAAGACTACCAAAGAAATACTGAAGTTATTCAGTCGTAAATCATCTATGGATATCTCCGAAGGAGCTAAGATCAAAAAGAAGGAAAGTTTTAGCTTTGAAACAGCTCTCAGCAAGTTTCAAAGTCTTGCATACTTTGATCAACATGTTGTAACTTCATCATGTGCTGTTACTTGTATTGAAATGTTTGAAGGGGTTGCTAATGGAACTTCAGCACACCTTCCTCTGATAGAAGCTATCGCCTTCTTATTCGATTTGATGGAAATGGCTCTCAATATTCATGGTCTGATTGACTTTTGTATTCAACTCCTTAAGGAAATGCCTGATGTTGAAATGAAACTTAACGAGAAGTGCCCTATTCTGGTCGGTAACTATTGCACGCAAATCGGTCTTTATATCACTGGTGTACTTTATAGATATCAGTCATGTTTATTAGTATCTCAAGAGGAGACTGTGACCATTTTTGAGGGTCTTTATAAGCTTGTCAGAAATGTTTCTAATCCTGCTGATTGCTCATCTGCTGAACGGTGTATACTGTGTTATTTATATGATCTATATACAAATTGTAGTCACATCAAGTCTAAATATTTTGATTTATTTAATTCAATTGGACAAAAAATCAAGCAAAATATCCACACAACCAGAGAACCATCATCAGTAAAGTTATCATGGAATACCACTTGCATGAGTGAATACATCAACAATCCCAAAATAAAAATTGATGTAAACCATCTACAACAGCTCAATGAAAATGCACACTTCAGATACAGTTTTGTTTGTAATGCTGTTCATGCTGTCTCGACCGCCAAAGACGCCAATCGTTTAAATGATCTTTCCATTTTGTGTGCTGAACTATCATCTCGATGTCCTGCCTTGGGCAGTGAATGGCTTGGAGTACTCAAAGCTCTCTGCTGTTCATATAAGCAAAATAGTGGTTTCTCTGAAGTCCTTGCTCAAGTTAATGTTTCAGACATCTCCTTGCACGATAATATCGCTGTATTTACTTGCATTCTCATTGCTCGTCGCTGTTTTTCACCTCAAGACTTTGTGATCCATTGTGCTCTTCCCTCACTACTTGCAGCTAGTCCAACCGGTGGAGGCTGTCAAGATGCTGAAGCCGGTGCTCGATTAACCTGTCATATACTTCTTTGTTTCTTTAGATCATCAGAGCCTCCTCTTTCCTCTAACACTGTATTCATTACACCGGCTACGACCCTGTACTCTTTAACAAGTCCCGGACCATCAAACCTTCCACCTCCTGTATCAAACATAGGCCACAATAGATCATCTCTGTTTGTCATAAAGCATCCTTGTGATCGTTATCTTTTAGCTGCTGCAAACATAAGCATGAAGGTTGAAGCTGTACTTACTATATTGAAAGCAATCCTTGTATTAGGTGAGTTCAAAAACATTAATTTTAAAATATCAAATACGCGGTATTTTATTTCTGTATACTAATTTGATTTAATTGCTTACTTAAGGAGATTCAACAGATGCTAATCGAGAGACTAAACCTAAAATGGAAAACTCTAGTACAAAGGAACTTAATTTAAATGAATTTTCTGGACTGATGAACGATGAAGAATTTAACGATTATGATTTTCTGTGAGTAATTTTTTGAAATCAATTATCATTTGAAGAGAAATTTATAATTTTGTTCCAATTACAGATTAACGGGAAATAAAAGTAAAGATAAGTCTGACGGAGTTGTTGAAGCTGCCGGTCTCAATGAATTTGCTAAACATGTTCTTAGACAGATAAGTAGTCAAGAATGGATCTTAGAACGCTGTTTAAGGGATCCAGATGTTATAACGAAACAAGATGTATTTCTTGACCCTAGTTTAACCCCTGAACAAGCTCTACAGCTTCTACAAATGATTTGTAATCCTAAGTCACATACCCTTGTTGATCAAGATTTTGAGCCAAAACAACAAATTACCAGAGTTTTCCAAAACCTCGATGAATGGACAATAAGACAATCCTGGCTTCAGTTGCAGCTTATGTATGCACAGTGTTGTACAGCCAAATCACCTACAGATGTAGGTAATTGGCTCGATATGGTAGCTAAAGCTACTATTGATTTTTTTCAACAAGCAAGCGAAGAAAGTTCCAAGAATGGCCTATTCCATGAAAGTGGTAAAGTCGATAAACAATCTTCTGAAGGACAATGGCAGAATAAAAGCACTAGGGTGTGGCTTGTGTCACCACTCATATCGAAATTACCATCGTCAGTGCAAGGTAAAATACTTAAGGTTGCTGCAAATGTACTAGAGTCAGGTAATTGGATGTCAGCTGGCTCAAACTCAGCCCAAAACTCGTATTCGTACTCAAAAAATAAGGATCGAGGCTTTTCTCAACAAAAGAGTAGCAGCTCAGGCAATGCAAATAACCCGTCTTCTTTGTTGAGTTATCCACCCTTTCTTGCCCTGGTACTTATGTGTCTCCGTGGTAAAGATGAGCAAAGAGAGAGTCTTTTGAACTCTTTGTTCTTGCAACTTCAGCAAGCCGTTCATGACAGAGATGACCCAAAAAATCGTGTTATAAACATCCAAGAAGGGTTACAACTGAGACTTAGTTTAGTCGGTGGTATGTTCGATATGATACAGAAATCTACCTCGCTCATTAATGATTGGGCAGTATTATTTGTTCAACTGATAAGTTATGGTGTTGTAGAGACTCAGCAAAGCTATGAACTTTTCACAACGGTTCTGGATATGTTAGCAGTGTTAATTCATACTACACAATCATCTGAAACCTCTGAATCTAGAGAAGAAACCAGGAAACAATATCAAAATCTTATCAAAAAGTTGAAAAAAGAATTCGCCTTCGATAAAGTTGGACTTGGAGTGGATCTTATTAAACAATTATTACCAATAAGCAAACAGCAGTGTGAAGTGATTACTTGTGAACCAATGGGTAGTCTTATAGATACTAAAGGAAATAAAATTGCTGGATTTGATTCGATTGATAAAAAACAAGGTTTACAAGTAGCTGAAAAGCAGAAAGTATCACCCTGGGATCTGTTGGAAGGTCATAAAAACCCTGGACCTTTAAGTTGGTCCTGGTTTGGAGCTGTGCGAATTGAAAGAAAACCATTGAGAGGCGAAGAAAATCACAATATTCTCGCCTGGCATACTCATTCCTTCAAACAGCCTACATCTTACTACCTAGAGCATCCTCCATTGCCTCCAGAGGATGTTATCGAGCCTTCTCCTGTTCCTACACCTTCTATACTTAACGATATAAAACCACAAGTAGTGCCTCCGCCAATCATTCCGCCTCAACCTACTCTTATACCAATGTCTATCCAAGAAGATCCAATTAAACGAGAAAGAGACACTCCTGTCGAGGTTTCTAGTCCTCGTGCATCTACAGCAAAGAAGCCAAAAGCTACACGAAGAAAGAGAACCCCGAAAAACGCCACTGCAGCTGCTGGTGCTGTGGTGGTTAACTCAATGACTCCACCACTAGGACCTGCCAATGTACAAACTCCTCCAATGAGACAAATGACAAACTACGATAACTATGTTCAACCTGGTCCACCTCAACCCGCTCCTCCACAACCAGCTCCCCCTCCACAGTGGTATAGCCAACAACAACCCGGTCCTCAACCACCTCCTCCACAAGCTGGGCCAATGCATCAACAGAATCAGCAATTCTTCCACCCTGCTCCCATGAGAACCAACACTAACCATTACGATAGAGCACCATTGAGTAAATCCAAGGCTATGCTACAAGAAGCTATTAAGAATCGTCAACAACCACCAAATGTAAATCAAGGTTACATGTCGCAAAACAGTGGTCCACCTCCTAATCAAGGTATGGTTCCCGGACCAGTGCCTGTCCAAGTTCCAGGTCCAGTTCAAATTCCAGGTCCCGTTCCAGTTCAAGTTCCAGGCCCTGGACCTTTAGGCCCAGGACCCGGAGTGCCACCAAATCAAGGTCCACCACCTCAACATATGTACCAGAGTCGCCAAATGATGATGCCTCGACCAATGAGGACGAGACAACCTCAACCTCCTCCTCAACCACCACCGCAAATGGCCATGCAGCCACAAAATCCAATGCAAACTAATCAAATGTACCAAATGGCACCAACCAATCAAATGGTTCCACAAAATGTTAACATGCCACCTAATTCAATGCATCACATGCCTGTCCAATCTCAGGGTAATTATGGTGGACCTCCACCAAATATGAATTATAATAATCCGATGCAGATGACCGGTATGGACCAACAAATGGGTGGACATGGTATTAACCAAGGCTACGCACCCCCACCTACAAATCAACAAAATCCTGCTATGATGAACCCGGTGATGAGACAACAGTTACATCCACAAGCAGGACATCACCCCCAAGGGCAACCAGGACCTCCAATGCCACCTTCACAACCTCAACAGCAACCACCACAACAGCAACACCATCCACAACAACAGTATATACAACAAGGACAAATGAATTCTTATTGGTGACCCTGACTTTAAATTTGTGGATTAAATCAAGATGAAATAGAATAATGTTCACATATTATTAATAATGTCATTTTCATGTTTATAATTTTCGAAAATCATCATCACCTTTATATTAATAGTATCTACTTTGAAGACACACAAAAACCTTCAGTTTTACAATTTGTTACATGTTTATCGAATGCTGCTGAAGGTCTCAGTAATTTAAACAAAAATCGAAAAAGATACGGAAAACAAAGAATGATTGTTTATTGTAAATTTCATATTGAACATGATCTATCTCGATGTTGAGATAAATCTTATGCATATTTAATAATTTCATTTGTTTTTTCCTATTCTTTGCCCATTTCTTTCTCAATTTTTTCCCTTCTCGATAAAAATGAAATTAGATTGCCTAAATTGGAAACTCATCTTCATCAATTTTTCCTTCCAAATGCATCCCATTTTTATCATCATTCCCATTTTGTGTACCAAAAAAACATTCACATCTTCACATCAAGCAGCTATCATTGTCTGTCATCACATAACTATCAAATCATTTTTCACTGAATCCATCATCATCCATTTATTGGTTGCAATAAAAGCATTGCTAGGAAAGCAAACCCATGATCCAGCTTGGATGATTATTATTGTACAAAAAAAGATTACTTTATTCAGAATCAACGTCGTCTTGACCAATGTTTCTACATATTGTGATGAAATTAAACTGAATCAACCTCCTTTAGTCTAAATGTGCCAGTAAATTAACAAAACTGGGTCAGTTGATTTAAACAAAACAAAACTGAACAATAATTACACCAATAGAATCGATGATTGATGAATTCAAAAATTGATTTGAATGTTAACAAACGATTCGATAGCAATCATAGACGGAAACAAAATCTTCATAATATTGGATAAAAAAGTTGTTAAAATGATTTACATATTTGAAATAAACAAAGAAATGCGCTTCTCTTTGAAAATTTATTGTTTTTTATTTTCAATCAATCAATTGACAACAATAGTCATTAAAATAACTTATTTAACAATTTCAATTATTGCTCTTATGCGTGCTACTAAGGGAACAATTTAATGATTACAGTGAGAACACAAATAACTAATTTGTCAATAATAGTAAAAATAAAAAGTTGAAGAGAGGAAAAAAAATAAAGGTAAAAATGCAAATATAACGAACAATTTAAATGTTTCCTCGTTGACAAAGTCAACAATCAATTTAGTTTGAACTATCAGAGATTTTTTCTGGTGTAGATGGTGAAGATTGATACAGCTTCTGATTATCAAGGCACTTTGACTCGGTCAATTGATTTAATGATGGATTCTATTGTTGACCATTCATCTCCAATTTGCACCATGATTTAAATTTGCTTGATGAGAATGAACTTTGAATATTGAACAATCTACTTTTTGTTCAGTAAAAGACGAATTCCAAATGAGCTATACTGAATATTTGTTTGATGACTAGTTTCTAAGCTTTTGTCTCGAATGTAACCCGCTGTGATGTCCAAAGATTTGGCGATTGAATCTGGTCCGGCAAGTGTCAAATCGTACACTTTTTTAATGAAATCCTCTTCAAGCATAAGATTTTTACATTGAGACAGTTTGAGGTGTTCAAGAGAGCCTTTGAGAGCAGTAAGAATACCAATAACATGGTGTTGTCGGATATCAATCTCGGTGACTTCCATAATCAGGTCAGTTAATTGGTTAAGGTGAGTCAATTTGAGAAGTTCATCGCCCATCAATGGTTTTCTTCGTCGAGTAAATTCATCATTGAGAGACAACCTTTTAAGCTTAGGTGTAACATGGGAAAGGCTTTCAAAAAAGTGTCGTCTCACATAGAAATTTGTTAATGATAAGTTTCTCAGGTTTTTAATTGGAGACAGAAAATTGATTAAGCTAACATCGTTTCCAAAAGAGGTTTCCTGGACACAGACAGATAGCGATAGGGAATCAAGATGGTTAAGTACATGAGTTTCAGGCAAGCGAAAGGTTTCATCGGACAAAAAGATGGTCAACTTTTCAAGGTTTGGTAATTTGGTGCATATTTGATGGAAAAGGTGAGTTGTTGTTGTCGTTAAAAGTAGATGGGTTAATCTTGAACAGGTTAATTGTTGACCTAAAAGAGGTACAAGAATCCTGAAATTGCTTGTATCGTCAAACCCAAGGTCCAAATGAAGTCCTTTGAATTTGCATCCCAATTGGTTAGGCCAATCATCAAATCCTGTTGGAGACAAGACAAAAATGAGAATTAATTATCAATCAAATGACTTTCTTCTTCAATCCAACAAACTAAACCGATCTGTTTAAATCAATAAGACTGATTGTCAGTGAATCAGGAAAAATAAAAATCTATTAATCAAACAAATTATGGATTAAACGGTTTGTTTAGCTTTCAATAGTTTGCTTTTCCAGTTTCATTATCCATTGATCAATTGATTGTTTTTCAATCTAATTGTTTGCCTTATAGTTAACTGCCTTTTCCCAGAAATCATAATAAAGGTTGAGATGAACGTTAAGTCTGGTAAACAATTGGTTTAATACAGTTTTCAAATATTAAACTATTACTTTCATTGATTTTCAATAAGATGGTTTTTTAGTGAAAACTGTTTTCAACATTAACCATGATCACGCTTTTAACCAATAAAATGGGCACGAATTGCATGAAACTTTATTCAGAATAGATGAAAATCAAGAAGAAAAAAAAAGTTGACAATCATGAAGGTAAATTACTTTTCATTGAAAGATCTGATTAAAAGAAATTAAAGGTTCAAAAATACTGTTTCTAATAAAATCTGGTTAACCTTGAATTGAATTGTTGATAAGCCTGAAAGGCAATTTGATTTGATCACAGAAACAGTCAGAAAGATCATCAGTTAATGATTAATAAATGCAGGTATAAAGAGACAAACAATTAACAAATGAGAAAGTAAATTGAATGCAAGAAAATTGAGAAACACTGTTAACCAAGGTTGATCAATTTCACGTTCAATAGTTCAATTAAACATTCCCTTAAAAGATACAAATGAACGGTCAATCCATTTAATGTAAACATAAACTTTCCGTTTACTTGGAATCAGTAAATAATTGAAAAATCAACAACAAATTAACTCAATCAACATAATCAACTGATTAACTATTAGCACTTTCTCTCTTGGCTTTGAAAGCAGTTTTCAATTTTTCATACACTTTAATTGATGATTGAGGTGAGACACCGACCTAGATCAACATCATTTAATAGACGACAAGATAACTTTGAACCAGAGTTTAACCGTAAAAATGAAAAAAAAGTGAAATGCTTCAGGCCATCATCATAACCATCATCAGCATGATCATCAAACTCTTTCAGATTCAAGTCAAGGTTTAATGTTGAATAAAAAACAAAATACTCATCCAACTGACCCAGCATCGGATAGACAACAGCTATTGATATTTAAACATGAATAGTGATCAAAGGAATACAATGAAATATATCAAGTAGATAGCATCAGAAACATCAACCATTTTGTTGCGATTATTTATGTTAACAGTTTATTGAGTTAACATCAATTTAATATACACAATTTACACACCCTTTCATTGTAGACAAGGTCAGATGAAATTTACCGCAAATTTCAATGAAAAAAAACTAACAATAAAAAGGAAAGTTGGTGTATTAACGATGTTAACATTCATTTAAATTTAATGTAACAATAAACTTGGATTAGCTTTGGATTCATAAAACCTAACCATTTATTGTGACATGAAAATCAATAAGTCAATTGAAGAGAGTCGAGTGTTGAGATTGGCAAAAAATTGCAATTGATTAAATTAATAGCTGAGTTAGACTAAAAATAAACAGAGATTAATGAGAATCCAATTACGGGGTGAAACATTTGATAGATTCAATATGGAATCACATTAGGTTTTCACTTGAATTACATTTTTAACAAAAGAAGATTCAATTCAATATCTTGCATTTGGTACCATGATCTTAGTTTTGGGACACATAGATCGATGTTTAGGAAAAGTCTAAGAGAACCAGATTTTAACAGTTTAACCAGTTTTACATGGGCTTCTATGGGAGATAAACAATCGTTTTCTCAATGTTGATTTTCCCATAGGAATAATGATTTTGTAAATCGATCTGTGGTCATAGATCAAAAGACGAATTTCATCTTGAAATGCTTCAAATGTTTTCTTTCACCTTGTAGTGTTGATTCATTTGAAAGAGTTGCTTTTCTCAAGTAAACGACAGCCGCGAAACAAATGGCATTAAAATGCATCTAATTGTTTGCGTTGACAAAAAAACAAGTTTTCAAGTAAATAATAAGGTTAGAATCATTTATAAAGGTAAAGCTAAAAAAGTTTAATAATTGTATCGATCTGATTGGGAATAAATTGTGTCAACCTTCAGAGAGTTGAATGAAAAAATTTCTAGATATTTCACTAGATGTGAGTTTGTTCAAGGTTTTCATTTGTTCTCCATGTAAAGCTTAGTAATGTAAAGAGTATCGTGATAATGGAGCAAGTTTATCTTTCTTGTCTTCAGTTAAGATGAGCTGTTGGGACAGCAAGAAAATTGGTCAACAATTTAACCTCTAAATTGTTGACTCAACTATGATGATGATGGTGATGGAGATCGTCATGTATTTTGTATTTTCTTGGGTTTCCCTTTTGATGATGAAAAGGAAAAGATAAAAAACAAAATGAAAACGATTTGAAATAATACAAAAAAAGACTCTTTCTCTCTCTTCCTCTCTCTGTACGCAATAAACATTTACTGATACTTGGAATGAGCAAAAAACTCAATGTCAAATCATGAGGCGATATATGAAAAGGGCAGAGACCTGACAAAGGCGTTCACTATGATCATCGTGATGATTATGGTGAAATGAGAAGACAAAAAAAATGGTAAATAAATTGATCCGTGAAGGTAAATTTTAAACAACAAAGGTAGATATTGTCACTAAACACGACAAGGTTTCATTAGGAAAAGTAAAAATAACCATAAATTCATCGATATTAAACAATGATCAAGATAAGTGATAATTATTCAAGTCTTTGTAAATGCAAGATTAAGTTGGACTGATAGAAGGTAAAGAATAAAATATTCAATTGATGTGATAGAAAATGGTTTTCATGGTAAACATAATGTTTAATGAAATCGGACAGGAAAAATTGTGAAAAATCACATCAAATCAACTTGCACTGATCATATGAGCGAGAATGTAAAAATCAAAGTTCAGGAAAACATAAGTATGACAAATTGACAGAATAAGAAAAGTACGGTAAAAACCTGAGATTAAATGGAGCACTTTTGATTACAGGGGAACATCAATTGTATTCCTAGAAATTAACTCATGCAATTATTGGGAAATGGGGTTAACAGTGAATTGTTTCTGACTCACATTGATTAATTTAACGATAATCTAGTGACTAAAATGAGAAATTAAAGGAAATAATTTGTTGGTCTAAAGAAACATTTATTTTTACCAAGCATAACCTTACCTTGACATTGGATGACCTGACCATAGATGCCAAGAAATTGAAGATTTACCAACCTTTTGCTTATCAAATAAAGAGTCTTCTCACTAACATTGTCATTAATAGCCAAATGTCGTATTGATTGAGGATGAAAATCAATAACTAATTGTAAGCACTTCTCAAGCGCTGAAGTATCACTAAAATGAGGCAAATGTAAACATCTAAGGTTATTTATATTAGAGATGAGTGATGAAAGAATCCCAAGCCAACCACTGCCACCATTTGCATTAATAGCTGTTGACCAGCAGTCATAATCGTCAATACGGATAACTGAAAGATTGGGACACCATTTAGTTAGGTTAACAATTAGGTTTGGGTCACAATGAGATCGAAGAGAAACAATATCAGTTCGATTGGGTAAATGTGATTCTGTAGGACAACATGAAGTTGATGGGAAACTGGCCAATGTCGAAAAAGAAGACGATGAGTAACCCGATGATGATGAACACGATGAGGTTGATGATGTGATGTTAAGTACAATTTGACGGTCAAGTATAGAGGCTGTTAAATCCATCCATGATTTAGAAATAGCCAAACAATTGAGCTTATCAGGTAAACTTAAATAGGAAAATATCTTCTCTATTACCAGATCTGGTAGGTTATCCATTATATATCTCTAGTTATGGTACAACAACAAAAATTAAATTAAATTGCTATTTACTGGAATACTCTATAAACAGGATAAATTTAACAAGAAAACAGTTAAATTAGTTAAAAAGGCAACAATTTAATTAGTTAACAATGATTATTAACAAGGGATAAATGACAATTGAACTCGGCGGTAAAAGCGCATCTCAACAACAAACTCAAGTAAAAACAGATTTGTTTACAATTTTTCTCTCCTTAACTCTCACTCTATTCTCTCTTTATCCTCTTTCTCCCTTCCTTTACCAAGCTAAATATTACACTTTATTATAACTCAGCTTTCTCTATTATAAACTCTTGGAGACATTATTTTCCTACTGATTTTGTCTGTGATTCACTAAACGTTATATTTAATTATGAATTATGCTTCTGTCTGTAATAAATTTGCTGTTCAAATTATCTATCAGCCCATTGAAAGAGGTTCATCTTAACACCATCTTAAGTACCATTTGGATCATCTGACGATGTTGTCTTCTTATTGATTATGATAAGGTAAGTTGTTCAGTTAATATGTATAACTCGTGTATTATTTTCTGATTAAATTAACACTAATGGTTATTGTCCTCTCTGCTTCTAGGAAATAAACTCTCCTTCCATCATAATGGTGACGGAAAATATGAAAAGGCGGATCGTTATCGAAGATCAAGATCCAAACAGGCTGCTGTACTTTTAAAGAAAACTTTTAGGCCGTATTGAGTTTGAAGGCTCATTTGGGTCATGTCAAAAAGAGAAACATAAATATGGCTTGGTTTTCATTGGATTTCCGAGTTGTGGCCGATGATTACCTCAAGTATCATCTTTTATAATCATCATTTGAGAGTGTTGTTGCAAGGATACTTTTTTCAGATATCTAGTTATCTGAATAAATGAATGGCTTGATTTGATGACTGTCTTCGATGACTGTCTTTGATGAGTGATATTGATCTGTAATCAATCTTTCCACCAAAGTCTTGACTCAATCATTTCTTTGTCACATAAATTACCACAGTTTCATGGTTGTTTTTCAACTAGTAAAATTGGCTTGTTTACCCAATGATGACATAATCACATAAATAAGAGAGACGATAATTTATTACCTCTGTAAAGTAAACGAGAAGCATCTGATTACTTAACGATTGTTCCTGTGTTCAAATTATAAAGCTGGTCAATCCTGTTTATTTCATTTCCGAGACTTGAAGTTATTGCAAATTGTAATCAAGCCAGTATTTCAAACAGCGAACGCTAGATGGCAGCACTTACTTTGTTATTGTCTGGTTGATCAACATTAATTTTTATTGATTTAATTCACTTTCCCGATTCCGACCATATCAAACATTATGATACTTAATAGTTTACCGTTTCCCTCCTGATATACTGTGATCTGCCAAAATACTTATCAAATGGTGTTGTAGGATTATCTATTGTCCATTCAAGTTGACTTCAATCAAATAATTATCTTTCAATGAGCGACTTTGGATCCATTATGATTGTCGTCTCAGAGCCATTGTTTCCGATTAAAGCCAAGATATTTTTCAAAGGTAAGAGACTAAAGTGATTATTATTCAAAGCCAAAACAACAGTTTTGTCAAACATAGAAGTAAAGGCAATTAGCTTGTTTTTATTAATAAATTTCTCAACCAAATTGTTCTCCCAACAGATATTTTCATTCATGGAAAAAGAAATTCTTTGATTCCATTATTCGTACTATGAGTGGTGTAGGATGAAAAAAGTTGACAATTAAGTCAACATGAGTTAACAATCCTAGGTGAATTGAAAGGTATTTTGTTAACAAGCAATGATGAAAAACTAATGGCTAATGCGTATGTTCATCTAACAAAAATAATTCATTTCTTTTTTTATTTCATCTTTTTTTCTCAGATAATCAATTAATTTCATTTCAAGTTTGCTTTGTTCAAGTTTGATTAAATTAAATCGTCAATTACAATCAACCTGGAGGATAAACATCATCTTCATCATCTTTGTCATCAAAGCTAGGAGCAACAGCAGCAGCAAAGACCTTATGGATGTAACAATTGATCAAAAATGAGTAAATGCTAATAGTATTACTAATGATGATAAAGATAAACCTGAAAGATGAACTGAAAGAAGCAAAGACTCAATGAATGATGAAAATAACAATACTGATGATATTATTAATGGTGCAAGGTGAAGTAACATCAACAATAACAACAACAATACACTATTCTGGTTTACTTGTGGTGCTAAACTAACCTTCATGATTAACAGTATTTAAGGTTCATTATCGCCTTTATTCTTACATATATTTAGACCATACTGTTTCATTAATTAATTAATGAAACATCTTCAAGATTAATAATTGTCAACAATCACTCTTTACACAAGCAAAATTAAATAGATTATCATTTTTGCATTGAAAATTGTGTCAAACCCTGAAACAATGAGAATCCAATTTTTCCCTCTACCAAATGGTCGTTCAACAAATCCATCTTACAACGACACAAAGAAGAGGTAATTATCAAGATAAAACACTGACAATAATTAATAATGAACATTAGATAACCTTTGATTAATTTCGTTTTTTCTGTTTATCCAATACAGAGACATGGTGTTGACAAGGCAAAAATAAAACCCAACAAAGGACAGAATTACATTGTAACATTGGATGTTTGGATGGACATTTCAAATGGTCAACTATTCACTCTCTTGTATTCAAGACCCAGTCAATCAGTGATTGAGAGGGAAAATTTAATTTATCCAGGCTTAATTTGATGATTTTAACCATTTGATGACATTAAGATGAGCCTCTTGTAAGGGTTGCGATTGAATACAATCAATCTGATTAAATGGTGAACTTGTGTTAATTGTGAAAAATGTTATTGAAATTAGCTGTTTCCTTCAGTATTCAATTTATTTTGTCAACTCGATTCATCTTGATTTGACTTGCTAATAAGTGTTCAAGTAAATTCAATGAAATAATTCAAACATTATTGAATACTCAATGTAAGTATTGAAATTCAGTTGCTCCATTCAAGTTGATCACCAATTGATCTTAAAAGGTTATCCTGGTTATTTCATGACAAACAATCAATCACAATCAGTCTATTCAAATGTCCACAAATGAAAAAAAATGAACACATTTTTACTCTACAATTAACCTTTCAATCTGAACCTTTGATCAGAAAAAAAAGTGTAATCAATAATTGGACAATTATAATTGGCCGACAAAAATGATTGAATCAAATTATGAGAGTTGATTGAAACAATGTGATTCAACTACAAAATCAACTGATTAACACATTGATTGGAATGCTTGTTGAATGCTGATTTAAAAAGTGGTTTTTATCCAATTATCCAATTCGCACAAGAAAAACTATCAACTTCAATTTGTGGTTAACTAATCACCTGTTAATCATGTTAATTCATTGAAAGTAGTTTTGAACAATTCAATTTGCTTTCTTTCACTATCATAATTGTCATGTTAATTGTTGTCCTATCATCATCGTCTAACAACAGTAAAGTAGCTTTCACTGTATTTACTTTGAGCCATTAAATTAATCTAATTAAAGAGTTAATCACAATTAGATTATTAAGAGCATATGATGAGAGAGTTGAACAAACAAAAATGTAAAATTCATTTCTGAAAATCTTTGAGAAGGAAATTCATTCCAGCGATTAGTTTTTCCTGATTAATATTGAACTCATTGTAAGCAACATTACAGTTAATCACCTGACGAGTGTTAATCAAATCATTAATATTAAGCACCAAACTGATCAACTTATACTGGTTTGTGTCAACTTTCACCATTAATGGTAATGGTTGAGAAAAAAAAGGTTCAGGGTTGAAGCAAATGATGATTAAATCATTGACAATTTAGTTAACAAATGCAAACAACCGGAAACTTGAGAGACTTATTAAATATGAAAAAAACTGATTAACTGTCTGTAGGACCCCTTATCGGACTGGATTAGATCAACCCAGACAGTCTTAGGCTTAGGTTGGAATCAAGTCCTTCAATCGCTTGTTTGCAATTGAAAATTCTGCCACTTCTACCAATAACCATTTGTTTATTACTTAATGATAATTTTGAGAAAATATTGATGATTCAAATTCTTGGATTTAATTTCATTCCTAAATTCAATTTGATTTAAATTTGCTAATTTTGGACAATTTTTGGACTGAATGAGATCAACCGAGACGGTCTTAGGTCCAGGTTGTAATCAAGTCCTTCAATCGCCTGTTTACGATTGAAAATCTAGTCACTTCTACCAATAATTATTTGTTTATTACTTATTGATAAGATTGTAATATTAACTTTAATATTAATTGTTTCGTTATAAGTTGTTTGGTTTTATTTTTAATTGTAAAAAGACTTAAAAATTCTTGGATTGACTTTAATTCCTGAATTTAATTGCAATTTGCTAATTTTGGATACTTTTAGCAACCCTCATTGGACTGAATGAGATCAACCGAGACAGTCTCAAGCTTAGGTTAGAGTCAAGTCCTTCAACCGCTTCTCGACTTACCATTGAAAGTAAAGTAACTATTTTATAATTGTGTAACAATGTCAATACAATTTAGCCAGCAATAAAGTGATTAATAAAGTTTTATTTTTGTCAATTTGATTTGATTGTTTCGCTTTTAATGTGATTCAATTAGAAAGGTTTTTTTTGAAAAAAAATCAATTGGATGATTAAATGTTGAATTAAAGTGATGAAAAAACACCAATTCGTATTATTCACGATCAAATAGGTATAATAATGACAACAATCAAATGTTACCTTGAAAAAGGTTTTCAATTGCAAGATACTAAAAAATTGTAACAGAAATCAAAAGATTAATCAAGACGATTGATATAAAGTAAATGATTGCAATTAGACAAATTGTGTTGATGTTTTTGTTTTTTTTCTCAGCTTTTAATTGTTAATTACACTTTGAATCCGATTGATGAGTTTTCCAATGTTTTTACTTCAATTCAAAGATGAAATAGACTAATTAGCCGACGATTGAACAAGTTAATTAATATACAAATTGAAGCCTCTAGGGCTTACAATGAAAAGTTTAAATTGAAAATGAGTGACAAGAAAAAGGTAAATACATTTGATTGCTTTAAAGTATCAAAAGATGAACATCACGATGGTGATGTGAATTGATTAACAATCTAACGGTTTGTTTGTTTTGATTGTTTTGTAAACGTCCTTATTAGCTCTTCATTTAAATATTGTTGTGCTTTTTTATCCGTACAACAATTAACTATCAATGAGCTGGATCAACACATTCAAAGAGCGTATACTAATTATTGTAAATTGAAGAAGCAATTATAGCAACAATACAAGATACAATTGACTTAAAGATTAAATTAAATTCATTTATTGATATATTTTTGGTCTTTTCTCAACCTAATCATTTGATAAATAATCACTCGAACATGGAAATGAAAAATTTTTCTTCTTTTATGATCATAAATTTTAAATACATGGTTAATTACAGTTTACAATATTGTGATGGCGATGAATGGAAATGAATTTTTTGGTGAAATGAGATGAGTGAGGGTCATGGAAAAGTTTGATGAATAAAATTTGATGTGTAATGATAGGGATTATCAACTGATTGACTTGCAAGTTTCACTCACTTTTCATCGTAATCATAGTTGGTTGGTTTGTTATAGCCATAGTCGACGTAAGGTGACTTTTTATTCGAACCATGAGCAAGTGAATGTCCATAGCTGAAATGGCGTGAATCATCATTTGCACCAGAATAATCCTCATGTGAATCCTCTGATTTGTCACCCAATCGAGGTGAGTAACTGTATGGCTGTTGAATATGGTAAGGCTCAGAGTGGTATGAAGGTTTTTTGGCTGGTTCATGAGATGGTCGGTAATCTGAGTTTACATCGTGTGAAGGATAGTATCTAGATGATGCCCAGTCTCTTGAACCAGAGTCGGATGAACCATATCGACCAAACATGGGTCCATATCCATCAGCACCTCCACGATAGCCACCTCGATAGCCATTATCACCCTCACCGGGACCATCATCATTGTACATCGCAGGTCCATCCGAGTATTGATCATTGTTGGACATGTAGTTGATACCAAGGCCCTCATCGTCTGAGTAACCCGAAGACTGTGAGCCTCCACGGCCAATGAAGCGTTTCAAGTGTGGGTACCATTTGGCTAGGTATGCATATGATTGGCTATTGGATGGGTTACGATCTTCACTGAATGGGCTCACATTGAATCTTTGATCACTAAAATAATCGTCCTCTTGACAATAACCAAGAGAAACAATCAATAAACACGTTAACAGAGGTGCTAACATTTCACTTAATCGCAAGAAGAAAAAGTGAAAACTTGAAACTTGAGTAAACCAATGAATAATGGTAAAGTTTGAATGATTCAATAAAACTGCACAACTCAGAAAGATTGAGATTGAAAATGAAGCTTTATCATGATGTTTGTTGAAATGATTTTTACACTTAAAACTCGCAAATCAATACTAAAAGTGTTTTCCAGCTCAAAGAGTAAAACCTTTTCAAAGTTTGTCTACAAGAAGCCAACCAATAAGGCGGGAAATGTTAAGCTTCATTTTTTTCATCTCTTCATGACTGTTTTAAAGGGAAAGTAAGTAATGTTCAAAGTAGTGCAAACGTGCTTATTGAGCCGTTAAACGACATCATGACTATAATTTAACATTTCAAATTATTGCTATTATCATGTTAATCTATGAGAGAAAAAAAAGACTTCTATTAGCACGTTCGTTGGTACACTACATTGGCACGTTGGGTCAACAAAAGTAAACAAGAGTCAAGTTTGGACAAACTTGATTGTTGACCAAAGCATTGTTAGTTGATTCAAGTGCAATTACTGAATTGAAATACGTTGAAAAGCAGCAACAACGTGCGTGATTATTTACTTGATCAACGTGATTACAGTTATCGATGAACATGCAATGTACTCTGATTATATCTATTATTGTAATCCAGACCGAAATGATTGATTAAACTGATCACAAAAAAAGTCGCAAATCATGTAAAAACTCAATCAATGTAAACTTATTAATAATAAGTTATTATTAGACAAATTACCTTTGATGGATTTAACCTTTTTTCAATTGATATTTTAATCCATTCAATTTTGATGAAAAAACTTCATTCTTTGATTTGTTCAATATAAAAGTTTTCAAAATATTTTACCTTGATTCAATCATTGACACTCCAATGATAATTTGGATAATTTAAGTTGCAATTAATTAGAGAGTGAAAGTGTGCAATTTGAAAATATTAATGTTTGATCAAGACTCTTGTCTGTCAATTAAAGGTAAAGTTATCAAATTCAATGGACCATGATGAATCAAGGTAAGTCCAGCTTTACAATGATAATTACTGAATAATCTCTTTAATCCATCAACTTCCCTTGAAATCAGTGATCCATTTTTTTCACTGTTTTATTCAGTTGATTAATCCTTAAATTACCATTGACCAGCAAATTAATCACAGTAAAATCATGTGAAACTTTTCAATAATATTGAGAACCGGAAAAGTAAGTATTTTCAGAAAATGAATGCTCAATTTTTTCTCGGAAATTCACGTCAACTTGGATTGTTTCATTTTCCAATTTTTTAATTTTCTTACATTTCTTGCATTTTATCCATTCAAGGAGTCACAATTGAACTTTCCTTTGATTCATTCAAAGGTAAAATTGAGTTTCAATTCAATTGGTTCAATTGAAAAAGCTTTGAACCAATCAAGTATAAATTGTACCTCAACTTAACGGTATTGCATTTGATTCAATTTTGAATAGTTTATTTAATCATATTTGGTCACTTTTGCCTTTCACTTTTAACTTAATTTATGATTATTGATCTGTTTAATTCAAGTCAATTAATTGCAAATGAATAGGTTTTTAGGTGAAAATAATTTAATTGTATTGATTTGTAAGAAACTCATTTCAACTGAAAGTCAGTTTAAAGGCTTTAATTTGATTAAAAAGTGTTACTCTAATCAATTTCTATGCAAACCCAAGGGTTTAATCTTGTTAATTGTAACAATTAACGATAAAATGTTCATTTAGTTTCTTTAGTTTTTTAGTTGTCAAGACAGTTTCAGAGCGATTGGAGTAAACTTGAATCAATCGATGTGAAGGGTGAAGCCTTGCCTGACCAGTGTTACAACCTTTTGTAAACCCAGTTGATCTTGAAAAACATTGAAGGTTGTTGAATCATTTCGAGTCGTTGAAATGCTCTGT